CGAATAGGTAATTTTTTAAGCTGATAAAAATAGAAGGACGAAATTCGAGCATCTTATCGAGTTTATATAAGTCTTTAACATACAAATTTTTCAAATATTGCGAAATTTCAAGGATACAATTTTAAAAGGACATTTTCAATACTTACCAGTCCCTTTTCACCAAAAAATGGAATCTGTTTCAGTTCTACATGATTTTCTCTTTAATTGTATGCCCAGCACATTTCTCGGAATTTTTTAAATCATTTTTGAATTACTGACGTCACAGTGAAAAACTAATAACGCAATTTTACTATATTTGGCCCATAGTTTGATTATTGTGATATTTGATTGTATTAAGTGAATCCCGGGATTTTTGAGGCCTTAAAAAGGCCGGGATTAACATTCCATCCATTCTACGTGTGATTCTAAGCAAATTTGCCGAAGAAGCCATGGGTCTAAAATCAATTTGAAGTTTGTCAAATTGCAAAACTTGGGTTCCGAAGAAAATTTGAAATTTTTCATTGTTGCGGCCTCTAGAGGAAGAAAAAGTTTAGTGCAGACGCTTTAGCAAAATGCTAAGAATCCTCTTTTCGCAATTTGGCAGACTCAAAATTGGTTTTAGATCCATGGTTTTTTTAGAAAATTTGCTTAGAATTACACGTAGAATCCTCCTCTCCAAAAAATATATACACGCCCTAATATATATGCAAGTGTATGTACATATGTAAGTAGGCACATTGTGCTTATGTATGTATGCAATGTGTCTACTATATATGCAGCCATCCATGTGTGAGACTTTGTGTTTGTTTTTGTTCATTTCTTAGTAATCCTACTGCATCAAATAATCACAAATGATTACATTTATTTTCGTAGTTGCTTTGCCGTCCATTTATTTCGAGGTTCAGCAACAGCAGCAGCAGCAGCAGCTACTGCAACTGTATCGTTCACAATTACCATCATTATCCTAGAAAGCTGTTGGAGTGACGACGTTGTAGGTATTTTTATGCTCGACTCGTGTCATTGCAGAACAAATGAGGGTATATCAAAATGATTTCGATGCTATACATATATGTAGATATGTATACTTGTGCATATGTGTGTATGTTAATGCACCGACAAATATAATATTTATGTTGATTTGTAAAATAATATGGTTGATGGCGTGTCTTGCTTAACTGAAGTTACTAATTTACTGTGAGCGATATTTTTAGCAAAGAAAAAGTTAAAATTGGTAAAAGAAAGAGACCATATTATAAAAGGTAAAGTTATATTTGACATTTTAAACTTGCAGCCGGAATCGATATTTCAAACAAAAAAACCATAGTATCAGAGATAGCCCAGTCAATCTGGCATTTTCGCACCAAAAAAAATTAACGGCCCTAGAAAAAAAAATGTACGAACATTTTTCTGACACTTGGGTAAAGCCTTTGAATTAAATGGGAAGGAGATTAATTCGAAGTCTATTCAAAAAAACTAACGGCTCTAGAAAAAAAAACTATTAATACTCCAAATATTCAAAAAGTACCGTCGAGGGGGACCGGATTGTTACAAAAAAAAAACTAATAAAAACTAATAACTTTTCCAAGACCAACGCCAAGCACATTGACTGCATCAATTCAACTCTATGAATCAAAAAGAAAAAAATGTTAGATTTTAGTCGATGAAATTCTCTACATAACTGCAGTGGGAAGTATTACTAAGGCTGCGGCCAATCACTTTAGCGTAAACGCGTACATGGCGTATGAGTAACATTGGCCATCATCATTCATAAAAACTGAGCTTAAGCTCCGCCTCGATTTTCAGTACAAATTCTTGACCTCACATCAGCAGTTCAAACACTGAGTCTGGGCGTAAGCTCACCTTTTTTGCATGAGGCCCGTTAATGCCGGCTTATATTGCATATATATGTACATATGTTTGGCATAAAACAAGTACTTTTTGGATATGCTATTCAGGACATTTTTCTGAATCGATTCGTATTTTAGAGCAGTTAAATTTTTTGGATAGAGTACGCTAAAAAAGCTATTTTAACGGCATCAATCCCCTTCACATTTAACTCTAAACAAAGTATTCGCTATAGGGCTTTATGTAAGTTTGAGAAAATTTATCGACGACAGCTATGGCAGGAAGCTTTCAATGAGTTCATAAGAATCGAGGGTTTGAAATGCATAGGACTAGTGTCTATTGGTCTGCGCAGGTACCATGAGATGCTGCGAAGATTTTAAGATTGAAATTAAATTGAGGGCAGAATGGTTTCCGGAAGCGATGAGAGGCGTAAAGAGAAGCTGTAGCCAATGCTAAAAGATGCCATAGGAAAAGCTTGATTGTACAGATAGAAAATAAAAATATTTCAGGAATTTTTATTTAGTGTAACAATCAATTCTTACATTTTATATACTAAAAAAAGAGCAAGAATTATAAAAAATAATAAAAATAAATAAATTTATGAGCGAAAACTTGTTACGCGGTTTTTCGCTTAGCGCATGCTTTGTAGCAGAAATTCGCTTCTATCTGCGCTCACAATTTGACATCGTTCGAGCAAAACATATGAAAATATTTAATATGATTTATATGTTGTTATAGCCAGGGTCCATAAGAAAAATTATTATTATTTAAATCAACATTTAATCAATATTTTAAGATTTTTATTTTTTTCGGTTAAAATTAATTATTATTGAGTTTGATCTTTTAGCTCAAAGGTAATATCATTCGATCATAAATACTGATCATTTTATGGTTTTTATTTTTATTTTGTTTTTAGTATTTTTTTTTTTTGGCCAAATAAATCATATTAAACAATTTTTATAACTTTGCATTATAAGTGACCTAAAGCTCAATAAAATTTTTTTATTTTTATTATTAAATTATAAACTATAAATGATTATAAAATAAAAGGCCATACAGACCGAAATTTCGTCCTAAACATGTTGATTCTTTTTATTATGGAGTCGCTACCTCTGAGAATAAGCCTGAAATTACCCTAGTTAGTCTGAGTTATTTGAATAATCATTATTCTTAAGTGCAAAGATAACACTCTCTACAGCAAAAATATTTTTTGGATCCCACTAACCAATTCCTATGTAGAATTTTAATTATTTTTTTTCCATGGATAAGTTTTTGAGATAATTTCAACTTATTGTTATTCAGCTTACAAAAAAAAAATTAAAAAATTCAAACTTGAACAGAGAAAAAATCTTAAAAATAACAGATTCTGTGTAAGTAAGTTTTTTGCATTTGTGTTCACGCCTGTTCTGTTACAAAAAAAAATCAAGCTACTACTTAAACAAGAAACTCGATGAGTCGAATGAGTGGTCAAATGAAAATTCGCAAACGCTTTTTGTATGAAAAGTTAGCGGTAAAGAATGTTACTAATACGCCATGTAAACCTCAGTAATCCCCTTCTCTGCTCATATTTCATGCAACAAAATCCTGGTGCATTTTCATTTGATCACTTATTCCTTTCTTGTTTTTATTTGTGGATCAATTTTCTTCATTGGTAGCTTCAATTATTTTTTTTTGTAAAGGAGCAGGCTTTCATACAATATAAAAAACAGTTATTTTTTTATTTTCCCTCTGTTAAAATTTGAATTTTATGGGATGATAAATAAATTTTTCGGCAACTATCTGGCCTATCGAAAAGTTACGTATATGTATACGGTTTATGGAGAATTTCGTTAGCATTCAATTGCCGTATCTCATATTCGTAAGATATGCGCGATTAAGTGGAACCGCTTTTTTAAAGCAGAATAACGGTAAATTGGAAATATACGAAAACTTATCCATAGAAAAAAAAAACAAACGGTGAATAAAAAACTACAAAAATGTGTGATCCAGTGTAGTTATTATCTTCGAGAAAAAAATAATAATAAATCATAAACTGATCGTTTTTTTTAAAAAAAAAAAAAAAATCCAGTAAGAATAATTTCTTTTGAACGAAAAAATAGAACTCAAATATAAATTAGTATGAGACCGCCTCCTTTAAAAAAAAAAAATTATAGAAAACGGTTAACGTGGTCGGTTAACACACATTAAAAAAAAAAAATAATATTCCGACGAATTTATAACCGCCTCCTTTTTTTTTGAAGTCGGTTATAAATTTATTAAATACTTTGCTGACTGTTGAATCGCAATAGCTTTCTTTAGCTATGTATTTAGAATAACTAACTGGACTTTAAGATAGCTGAAGACCTTAACCTAAGTAATTAAAAAAATAATCAGTTCCTTTGCTGTAGACTAAAGAAATTGATTCCTAATTATTAATTACTGAGAAATGTAATTGTAATGTAATTGCATTTAGCCAGCTCGAACTATAGGAAAACAAATATCGCTCATTTACCTTAATAATGTCATAACTCCAAAAAGTAAAATTCGAGATGCTTTAAATTTTGAATTTAGGGATATTGTGCTTATAATACATATACGACATTCATATATTGATAGGTGCTCAGTATTTATTTTATTATTTTTTAATTGTAATTATTTTTATTAAAATATAGTTTATTCTTTAACAAAAACCATATAAATCCATGTCTCAATCAAAATCAACAAACTTTGATCAAAATTTCTGGTTTCTAATTACATTTTGTAGCACGCAGTTTTGTAGCCCATTCAATTTTAGCATACTAAGGTGCAAGGTTGGGATTTACTGTTGATTTTTGGGAATTATTTTTTTTCTATTGAAAGTGTTGCTCATTTTCCCCATAGATTAAATATAATCGAACACACTTCGTAAAGAAGAAAATTACTAGCATCGTCAACAAAATAAATTTCCAAAATTTTTTGTTTTAACATTCCACAAAAATTTAAACTGGGACTTATGCGGTTTTTGTTGAAGAAAAAACTATATATTTATACAAAAATAATTAAATTTAACCAGTAATAAAATAAATGGGCAAAACTTGTCAATATGTAAGTGTTATATGGTGCTGATAAGCACTTTACTAGTTATACATACATACATATGTATACTACACGAAATAATTTCAAATAAATATTTTAACACAAAATTCGTCTTCACTTACCAAAAGTGCCCATTTTAGCCGCCACACTGCTCCAGTTTACTTATAAAGCGATAAGATGACTTCAGGTATTGCGAATATGTGCTTGATTGCAGTTGTTGAAAAACTCCTCTCGTACGCTTAGCGGCGGCGATTGGCGTTTTTCGAAATCGCCACACAAACAATTTTTGCGTTGATTTCAGTTGTACGTTAGTCAATTTGGCAACGAACTTGACACTTTCAATAATATGCTGCGGCTTTTAGTAGCAATGAACTTGACAATTATGATATTTCAAAATATGTAGTGTTAAGTAGTGTACGTAGTCCATAAAAGCGGCACAGTGCACGATTGTAATATCTAGTTATTCGTTGGAAATTTGGCACTTTTTGTATAAACAAGTCGTTGTGGGTGTGTATAGTTAGTTGGTTTTAACGTAAGCGCCAATTTTGTTTATATATGTATGTGTATGCAGTGGTATATGTATATTACGAATATATTCGATAGCAAAAGTACAAAAATATTATTTTCACACAAACAAAATTTGTTTTTCCAAAATCACAAAGTTGTTGCCGAAAACATTTATATGCGCAGTTTGTATTGAGTGTTTATTTTTTTGAATTGCAAATATTGTTTCGTTGAAAAAACGTTTTATTTTTCGTTTGAATTAATTTGTGCGGTGTTATCTTACACGTGTTTTGTAGTTGAAGTGTTTTTAAAAATTTATTTATTTCATTATTTTCTTTTACAAAAAATTTAAATTGTTTTGCAATTTGTTTCAAGAATTGAATTTAATTGCATAAAGTCACAAAATTTGTTTTCTTTAAAAAGTCTTCGTTAAATTATATTCTTTTTCGTTTTACCAAAACTCTTTAAAAAACGAAAACACTTTCACTTTATCTGGCACCAATGCTTATCGCTGTCTTAACAACACAATCTTCCAACGGCAAATGTTCAAATTTCGGGAAAATAATATACTTTTATATGCAGTATTTAGTGTGCGCGCTCATATTTTTTATTTTTTGTTTTTTTTGTAGGGAGCGAGAATTCCGTAAATTTCGTATTTAATAGGTGCTTGCTGGCGCTGCTACACGCACGTTATGATATTGTCGCCTCCAAACACATTGATTTTATATGCGCGCTGAAATTTGTTTCACCAAAATCAACAACACCAACAACAAAGAGCCGAGATTGCGCGTCCTCTTGCATGCGAACAGCCACGATGGAATAGCCGAGAGATACCGACACCGGAACGAGAACAGAACATACAAAGGGTACCCGCTGCACGTCGCGCATTCCCGCCGCATAAAACACAACGCCACAAAACAAATAGATATGGAAATGCAACAAAAAGAAAAAGAAAAACAAAGTAGCCGAAAAACCAAAAATCAGCGTCAGCTAGCAAGCGTACGAAATTTTCCAAAGCATGAAACAACCACTACGAGAGCAAAGGATAGTTGGTGAGCGTGTTGCGGAGCGTGTGCGCGGAAGTGAATACTCCAAATTCAAAGCTCAGACAAGCCCAAAGAAAGCTTTTTGTGTTACGCTTGCAACATATGTATGTAGCATAGTTGTCAGAAGGCAGCAGCCATCACAGCAACTGTTGCAAACACAAAGTGCCATTTGGGTGTACGGGGCGTATGATGAACATTAATGACTGGTGTGTGTGTGTGTGTGTGTGTATGCGTGTGTGTATGTGTGCGGAATCAAGGGCTTATTGTTACATATGTAGTTGAGCTGCTGCAAAATTACCATACCCAAGCATATGTAATTCCGATTTCCTTTTGTGCTAAGTAAATAGGTAATAATCACATTAACACAGGGCTAGAGACAGAAAAGATAAGCTCGAGTGGCATACAAAGAGCATTGGAATTTGCATACATACATATATACATACTTACGTGCACATATTTGCACAGTTCGTAAAGGACTTTCAATTACATACTCGTACATAACTTTGAACTCAATGCTAGCTAGGCAATTACCGGAAATACATGGAAAGGCTAGAATTACAAAATGCGTAAGCATAAATACTAGGGTCGCACAGTGGGAGAAATCACGAAAAAGCTGACCATATATAGTAAAAAATTTACCTAGATGCTTCAAATTTGGAACACAAGCTTCTTTAGTGAACATATAAAGTTGTACATACATATACATATATATATATATATATATTTTTTTTTCAGAGACAGCAGTCGAGAGTTCTAGCTTTAATTGAAGCCTAATTGAAAGGTTTTATCACGTTTTCTTTCTTTGCTGGAGCTTCTCAAATGTTGCAAAAAACGCGATTCTTTGACATAGTGACCTCAGCACAAAAAGTCTATCAAAAACAAGTAAGAAAGTCTAAGTTCGGGCGGAGCCGAACATTAAATACCCGGCGCAAGTATTAAATATATGTTTTTTCATCTTTCCGAAACCTTCCGCTAGATGGTAAGCTGGGGTGTATCAATTTTGAGTAAATTAGCGTCCTTCAATTTCGAAATATTGAAGTTTCAAGCATTTCTTAAATTTACCGTTATATGAGAATCGGCCGTTATTTTAGTCCGATTTCAATAATTTTCAACGTTTTGCTTACACGTGGCAAGTACAATAACCATACCGAGTTTGGTACAAATTGGTAGAACGGTTAC